ACCTTTTTATCCAGAGAAATTACTATAGACACAATTTCAGTCATCACAATGTTAACTTATCCAAACAATAATTTTGTACATATGACAACAGTGTTTTATACAGTATCGCAAACCACATAATTAAGTCTATAGATTACTGAACACATGGTTTGAGGCAAGAGTGTGTTAATTTAAGCATGCAGTTAGCACCATGCTAATTGGTGGGGTATAAGTTCCCATTAGTTGTCAGGCACACTTATATGCATAATTAATGTATTAAGATGTAAACAGAGTCATTCAGAGTGGTTTGGTGTGAAATGCTCAGTTCTAGAGAAACATAGAGTCAGAATAGTTCACAGTGGTGGTGATAGGAACCAGACGTCCACCTCTAAAAGCTCCCTCACATGAAATGTTTATAAATAGGCTGCCTGATATTTTAGGCCAAAGCAATATATTCATGCTGTAGAAATATTCATTTCACAAAATGAACATTAAAATTCAAAACTTTTACATGCTTCAAGTTTTCAGCTTATTGATAAATTGTTCTACCTTTCAGAATTAATTCTTCATAGAAGTGACATGTTCTTTTTATCTTGGTGTTTCATTTTTTTTAAATCTAACTACAATATTTGCAACTTTTTTGGCATCAGGACTACCTGCTCAAAAATTGATGTCCAACACTTAAACAACCCAAACCCAACTCCCCCCACAACCCAAACCCAACTCCCCCCACAACCCAAACCCAACTCCCCCCACTCCCCAAACCCAACTCCTCCCACAACCCAAACCCAACTCCCCAAACCCAACTCCTCCCACAACCTAAACCCAACTCCCCCAACAACCCAAACCTAACTCACCCCACAACCCAAACTCAACTCCCCCAACAACCCAAACTCAACTCCCCCAACAACCCAAACCCGACTCCCCCCACAACCCAAACCCAACTCCCCCACTCCCCAAACCCAACTCCCCCCACAACCTAAACCCAATTCCCCCCGACAACCCAAACCCAATTCCCCCCGACAACCCAAACCCAACTCCCCCACAACCCAAACCCAATTCCCCCCGACAACCCAAACCCAATTCCCCCCGACAACCCAAACCCAACTCCCCCCACAACCCAAACCCAATTCCCCCCGACAACCCAAACCCAATTCCCCCAACAACCCAAACCCAACTCCCCCCACAACCCAAACCCAACTCACCCCACTCCCCAAACCCAATTCCCCCAACAACCCAAACCCAACTCCCCCCACATCCCAAACCTAACTCACCCCACTCCCCAAACCCAATTCCCCATACAACCCAAACACAACTCCCCCACTCCCCAAATCCAACTCTCCCGACAAGCCAAACCCAACACTCTGCCACTCCTCAAACCCAACTCCCCTTACTCCCCAAACCGAACTCCAGTCACTCCCCAAACCCAACTCCCCCACAACCCAAACCCAACACCTCCCACTCCCCACACCTCCATGTGCACAGGCTGGCTCTCAGCAGCATAGCCTAGGGCAGGGAAATCCTATTAGCCTTTACCAGCAGAGAGAACACGAGACACATCATTAATTACACACACACACACACACACAAGCATATGCACACATGCACACACACACCAATACAGCACACTCCAATACAACACATACACACACACACTCTGACATAACAAAAACACACATACAGAATTATCCAGCACTATGCTCAGCCAGCACACACACACACACCTGATAAAACTCAAATACACACACACACACACACACACACACACACCATCACATGTGCCAGCAAACTCATATGATTAGCCATGAATGCAATAATTCCAGTAAATATTTGGTGTTTTTTTTAGTCTTGTTCATGCTGAGGTATGATATGCTTTAGACAGGGTGTCCGAAGTCCGGCCCCAGAGCCAAACGCAGCCCGCAGACAGATATTAATTGACCCGTGGATTCTGTTTTGGAGTGTGTTATGTGACATAACACTACGTGATTATGCAACATATATTAAGGTGGCCCGCCACACACAGTTTTTTTTTTTTTTGATTATTTAATACATTATTAAATAAATGGATGGATGGATGGATGACTGCAAAGAAACTCAGGATAAAATCCACATTTTGCTGCCAAATCTCACACATGCAAGGCTGCTTCCTTTTGCCTGCCGAGCTGCAAATGTAGCTCTTTAATAAAAATAAATAAATACGTGAATAAGGTGTAAAATATATATATATATTTTCAAAAATAAAACAGAGTATGACAGAAAATTGGCTAAAAAGGATAAAAGCTCTTGTGGTGAAGCAGGGCCAATGAGCAGACAGCTGGGGGGCTTTTGTTCAACATTACAAAAAGAACTGGCTTTTGAGTGCGAGCGCGCACACACACACACACACACACACACACACACACCTTTCCTCATCAAAAACTGGCACCACACTGTCCCGGCCCTCCTCTCCATATGCGAGCATTCACACCGCTCACAGACCTGCACCCGTACAGAAGACCTTTACTACACTGATCCTTATTCTCCATCCACACAAATCAATAATAGCTGATAAACTTCACATACATGTTTATAGTGTTAGTGTGCAGCAGGCGGACCCGGTCAAATCTGGATGTAAAATGAGCTGCACTAATTTGAAATTATGTTATTCATTATGTTTTACAGCACTTGGCAAATGCTCTTATCCTACGGCAAGCTGTTTTAGCTTTAAATCCTTTTTTCTTCATATCAGGAACTCAATTTACATATGTGAAAATTACATTTTTGCAAGAAAAAATTTAATTCTTACTAAGTCAAAATTCAAAATTTACTATTCATGATTTTCCCTATTCATTTTAATGGAGGAAACATTTTTACTAGTAAGAATTACATTTTTACTAGAGAAAATAAAACTTTCACATGTAGAAATGTCATTCTTGATATCGAGAATGCAAAAATACAACTACAAATACAAACGATTAATTTTTACTTTTTACTAATTATATTTTTATTAGTGACAAATTTCACATGTAAAAATGTTTGTAGAAAATAAAATTGTACTAGTTCTATAAAAATTATTACATGTAGAAATTCAATATTTACTATTAAGAATACAATTTTTGATATCAAAATTCTATTTTTTTCTAGTAAGAATTAAAATTCTTGATATCAATGTCAAGAATTACATTTTTACTAGTGAAAATTTAAATCTTTATATCAAGATTGATATAAACGAATGCTGCAACTTTTCCATGATCCATTTAAAGACATATTAAACTGTGCTTTTGTTATACACAACGGACTCTGCCCACAAAATAAACATATAAATAATACAGCATTTAAATATCGCTGCTGTCGGAACCAAACCTCGCATCTCCATCTTTGTGGTTTTTCAGTTTTTGACATAATTTGAAAACACCTGTTGGCCTTTACATTGTGTGTAAACTTCATGATGAATAGACCTGAAAAAATGGCCCAAAATTGCTTGGACAAAAAGTCTGGTTCCACTGACTTACATTAGATGTACAGTATGTTTTTTTTTCCTTCTCCTGTAAAGTCACCATTTTGGAGATACGAGGTTTTATTCCGACAGCAGTGAAATGTTATGTAATATAAAATGTTACATAATATGTTAAATGTGTTAGGGAAAATAATCACACTACACAATCACATCATTCTGCCATATTTAAAACAGATTTTATTTCACACTTCATTCCACTGGCTGCTTTCATTGGCTTCCGACAAAACATCTGCATGAATTAGGGCGTGCCTTATGTAATTGATATGTAAACTGGGTGCACTTGATTTCACACACTGAAGCTGATTCAGCACGCACATCTCCGCTTATTTCCTAAATTTCTGCAAAGGATGTAAACAAAGTCGTTCAGAGTGGTTTGGTGTGAAATACGTCATTCTAAAGAAACTTACTGAATCGGAATTGGTCACAGTGGTGGTGATGGGAACCAGACGTCCAAAGAATTTCTCTAAAAGCTCCTTAATGTCGGACACTGAACCTGTTTTATGATAATTTTGAGAAGGTTTTGGCCTTAAATTCACAGTGGAGAGGACATACGGGGTGTTATCTTCCAGAATGGTCCTTATGATATTGCTCTTTAATATTGTACCATACCTGATATTAACAACAATGACCTTTTGACCTTTCATAGTGGTTCCAGGCTGCTCAGATCTATAGAGTATGTGATTACAGCCCTCTTGTTCAAATACAGCTTTTAAAAGGCTTTTAAAGAGGCATCCTCAGCAGACTGCATTGGGCAGTGCTTGCAGGAGGACTATGGATAAATCAACGAGTATCAAACTAACAGAAGTAGCAGCTCGGTGGAACTCCAGTTCCCCTCGGGAGCCTCCACTGTAAGAAGAATCCACAAGCTCTATGAAGTGAAAGGCTACAATCACAGGAGTTGAACCACTGACAGTGTATATGATATATATCGCTGCTGTCGGCAGAAAACCTTGCGTTTTTCAATTTTTGACAATTTGAAAACACCTGTTGCCCTTTCCATTGTGTGTAAATTTCATGAAAAATGGACAAAAAAATGGCCCAAAATTACTGTCTGGTTTCATTGTCTTATAATAAAAGTAAAGTAGTTTTTTTCCTTCTCCTGTGAAGTTACCATTTTGGAGATATGAGGTTTTCTTCCAACAACAGCGATATGGTAATATACACTCATGGGTTGGAATATGCAGCCACTGGAAGCCAGTGATGGAAACTAGAAACCAGAAATTGCTATTTAAAGTAATAAACACGTTATGATGAAGCTTGTCACTCGTACAGCTCTACCAAGACGTTTTTTCAATGGCAAAATCTTTCTTTAGGGTCAAATTTGATTCATCACAATTAACTACACAAAATAAAGCAGGTAATTATGATTGCTAGCTTTAATCGTCAGTGTATACCTAAATAATCAAGTATGTAGATACTAAACACAACCTGAAGTACATTTTTGCTAAATCGAATGTCATATCAAGTTAAAAAGAAGGAAACACCCTTAACAAATGACAAACAAGAAAATATTTATTGGTTAAAGAAAAAAAATACAGTCACAGCTTGGAAAAAAAATTTAAAAAAAAATCAGTAAAACGTTACTGAAACAGCTACAGTGATAGAATAAATAGAGCAGCTGAAATTCACAGAAAAGTAGACCGAGGTAAAGTGGGATCCTTGTTTGAGATGTGGACCAGCATACAAATAAAGTGTAAACCATACAAGTGAATACAAAATCTCCAGAAATGGGTTTTAGCTCCAGCTTTCATGGATGAAGAACGTCTCTGACGGCACTAAAATTAGGAGATACCACACTTAGAGGGGTGAAGAAAGGTTCAGCGTACCCTAAAGGCCCTGACAGGTGCTGTGCAGCGAATAAGAAAAGATCATACAGCAAAACGAGGCCTGCTCAGGGAAAAGCCACTGGCTATCTCAGAGCTCCCCCTTGTGGCAACTCTGAAGAAGTGCAGTGCAGCTGTTCAGGGAAAGTTAAAGGTATAGATGAGTGAAAGACACATATCTCGTGCCTCTTCAGTTTTGCACTGAAGCTCTGAGGCTAATGCAGCTAACAATTAATGGAAGCTTATACCCCACCAACTAGCATTATGCTGAATCATAAGTTGTGGAGTCGTTCAGAGTGGACTGTGAAATGCTCCATTCTAGAGAAAGTTACAGTGAGAATTGTTAACGGTGGTGGTGATAGGAACCAGACATCCAACTCTAAAAGCTCCCTCACAGGAAGTTGATACATGGAATGGTTACAAATACGTGGCCTGATGCCTGAGACATTGTTTTTTACGCTAGTTTTGAGATAAAGTTTTAATCGTACAGTGTATGTCGAAGTCATTCATGGTGGAGGGGGGCATGCAGGCTTTATAAGGCAAAATAGGACCCAAACAAAACTTTTTTCAGATTTATCACCATTTTACTATGTCATCAACATAGAAAACACAAGTACGTGGTTTTGGATAGCAAATAAAATGGTTATATTTGTGTTGTAGACATGACGACCCCTGGTTCCTATTACCACCACTGTAAAGAAATCAGAGTTGGTAAGCTTCTCTATGATGAACCATTTCAAACAAGTCTGAAAGACTTTGTCACCACCGCTAATTCCCCCTTAAAGTAATCTCTAATAGATTTGCTTGTGCAGTTTCCGCCACTGTATGACATCTATGACATAAGTGGACAAAATGCAGCCTACAACATTGCTACTACTGTTTTTAGCTGTGCAGTGTTCACTTTTATAGTGTTAGGAACCACAAAAGCAAGTCTACAAACCTCTTAAGTTGTAATTTCTGAAGTCAGCATCACGTCCAAATAAGGAACTCTGAGTCTAAGTTAGTTTTCTCTATGGAGAAAAACGAGTGGAGTTTTCAATGACTATCGCACTCTGTGTTAAACAAAAATGTTACAATCTGTTATATTTTGGTGTATGTACATTTTTTCTCTAAATGTGACTGGATCCTCTGATTAATGAAGTGGTTAACAAGTCAAAATATGAATATTGCTACATGCGAGCCAACACTACTGTGCACTGAATTGACTCTGAATTAGAGAAGGGTGATATGGCAAAAATATACATAAACTTTTCGCAACGTCACAATATTTTTGACATCTGATCAGTTGGAACAGACAAAAAAGAACCAGCAGTGCTATATTTTAAAAAATACGATCAAAAACTGTGAATACAATGATTTTCATTCCATATTTGCCATTAAATCCAGTTAAACAGGACTAATTTTGCTCATTTTATGATGAAACATGCAGTTGGTCAGTGATCTACAAGCACTGATGATCCACGGTATGTTCAGAAAAGCATATTGTGTTGAATTGTGACAATTTATCACAATAACAATATATATTGTCATTGTGCCCAGCCCTACTCAGAAGACCTCACCAAAATACCCCACAAACTGTCAAATGTGGTTGCTGCTTTAGCAATTTTAGGCTACAGTTTTAGCCTGGTGTTGGTATACAATACCACTGAAGTGTTAGCTTGCTAGTAGCATAGATTAGAGTTGGGTACTCCAAAATGATTACATGTCAAATTTCTATTCCATATCTCAATGGCCAAATAAATACATTCCACTCATTTTTATTTCAGAGGACATGCTAGCAGAGAAAGAGGAAAAATTACAGCCAAAAAAGTCAGAAAAACTAAACATGATAGCACCTTAGCGACGGCTAAGAGCTACACTCGCCACAGAACATGTTCAGCTTTTATTTTAACAGTAGTAACTCAACTCTGTGCTCTCAGATATCCTCTAAAGGGGCGTCATTGTAGCTTCAGTTAGCTAGAAACAAACTTGCTGTGCTGTGTGGTACATTTGGCTTGCTAACCAGCTCGCATCATTAGCATAGCCAAAACACTACCATCCCAAACAGCACAGAGCAGGTTTAATTTCAGCTGTCTCTCACTCAAACACCAGTCACTCCACTTTTTCTCTCTCAGACTTTAGTTTTTATCATCTACGTGTGTCAGCAGAGCAGCAGTCAGTCAGAATCAGACCTGTATTGTGGTGTGTGGCACTGTTTGGGTCTGTAGCTGCTTGCTGAGCTAGCAGAACAGGCTACAAATCTAAACCACAGAAACGGTTCAAGTTTGCCTTTCTGACCTTTCACAACACCAGCTGCTTGAATTTACTCCCTCAGAGTTGAATTCTTATCCTCTAAACTTGTGCTTGTGCTTTTTTTTTTAGTCAGAATCGAACATGTTCTGTGGTGAGCAGAGCTGTTATCATGCTAGCTAAGCTAATGCTAACCAATGCTCTCCTAGTTAGCGCCTCTTTCCAGTGCACTTGTCTACTGTTAAGACAAATGGTTTGACACTTTATTGAGTGACTGCTTGAAAATGATGAACTGCTTTTACTTATTTGTTGAGCATGTAAGCAAACTAAAAGTTTAGGTTTCATTTTAATTTAAAAACAACGCAGGACGAGACGGCATAAAGCGACATAAATGCTTTGCCACAACACTTTTATGCAGTCATTTTAAAGTGGATACCACCCAATCCTTACATGGATGTAGCAATATTCATATTTAGGCTCTTTAACAACATCATAATTCAGAGGATCCAGGGAGGTAAACTGTATGTATTGGCGTTGAAATATTATAGCTTATCATAGGATGCAACAGCAAAACCACCATTCATTTTTCCTCCATAGAGAAAACCGGCTAAGACGCAGAGTTTCTTATTGACGCTGACTACACACCGCAAAAATCGTATCCTGTTAGGTAAAATTATCCTAAATCTAGTTAATATACTTAATATTTTGAGATTTCATTTTGAAATTATCACAAGCTTATGATGAGATTTCACTTTTTTTAGACTTTTTTTTACTTGTTTTAAGTGAGTTTAGTAGGTAATTTTAACAAGTTAAAAATATATATAAATAAGGTAAACACTCTCATAACACGCTTACAGCAATCTCAAACAGAGAAGTATTAGATATATCGACTAGATTTAGGATAATTTTACTGGAACGATACCATTTTTTGCAGTGCAGAATAATGCATGACTTCAGGTCTATTAAACAAATGAAAATACATTTTGCTGCATCATCCCTTTAAGAGAAACCAAAACAGGGGAAAAAGTGTATTCACATCTTACAAAATCGCTGATACAGTATCTAAAAACTGATACATGTCTAAGTAGATGTAATTCCAGAACTGGTGGTGGACAAACAAAGGAAAATTTGTCATTTTTGTTAAAGGTTATTGTTTCTAGACATAACAAGTGACATTTTAGCCCTTAAAGGCCCTTTAGGTACAATTTACTGCATACAAATATGAGCCATAGTCTGCAAAATCTTCTAAATTACAAAAAAAAAAAAAGGAAAGACACTTTTTTCTCTTTTTCTCTTCTACTCACCAGTCAGCAAGTTGAATGTCTCTGAAATGGCTCAGCTGTTCCCTCTATACTGAAAATAAAAAGCCAATTCAGATTCAGCCGCTGATAAACTTTTAATTCTCCTCACTATGTATAAAAGATGTCATATATGTTATAAACAAAAACACCCTAGACTAAGAAGAACGTTTGTATTGAAATAAACCTATAAAAAAAGTTTAATAATGAACAGATTATAGAACAGAAATAATCCATTCTAGTAACCACCAATTAATCAATAAATGTATGTATTCATTATTATATCGTTTATATAATCGTATATGTTTGTCTCCAGGAACCTTCACATGTACAAGTTTAATTCACAGCATTTTTTCTAATAGCAGTTCAGAACAATGACCTACACAACCTGGGAGGACGCCTAAAGGGCAACTTCACCTATTTTTCAACATCTCTGCATAATTAAATGCTTCAGATGTAAACAAAGTCATTCAGAGTGGTTTGATGTTGTTCTAAAAACCACAAAAATTTACAGTGGTGGTGATAGGAACCAGATGTCTAAAGAGTTTTATGTCTGTAAAAGCCCCCTTATAGAATGTTACTACACAAAAAAAGTTAGGAACATGCTGATTTTCACAACAGTTCTGGCCTAAATCTTAGTTTTTTTAAATCCATTCATGGCGGAATTATTAGTCATTGTGAGCCAAAATAGTCCCTTTTTTCAGATTATCACTATTCCACCATCATTACATGTAAAAACTCAGAAGACACGTGTAGATTCACTGGTGGTTTTGGATAGTAAATAAAACGGACTCAGTAACCTCTGGTTCCTATCACCACCACTGTAAAGAGTCTCTACAATAAACCATTTCACATTATACCCCTCTGAATGACTTTGTTCACCTTTTAACGTCTAAATTCTGCAAAGATTTTGGAAAATTGGTAAAATTCCCCTTTAAGATTTGTGTAAATGTAAGACTCAGCTAACAATGGAAAAATCCAACCGTGGAATAAAACATGAAAAATATGAATAGTTTTTCCTCCAAAACACCTCATTAAGTGACTCCACACAATGTCCTACTGCAATGACACACCACGACTACGACGAAAACCCTTAACAAAGTAAATTCCAGTTAGAAAAAAATTCTTTTGATAAAAAGAACTATCCACAATGACAGTCCTGCGTATGTGGGCTCACAAATCTGCTGTGGAAGAACGTGACGAACTGGGTGAAACTGAGTGAAAGGTCAGACTATTAGTGTTGGTGCAGAAAAATCTTTATATAAAATATCATTTTTTCTAGGTTTAAGTAGTAAAACTGAGCTCACAAAAAAGAAAAATCATGAACACCGTTCACAACCAGTAAAGTGAAGGTGAATCCCTATAAACCCAGAGCCCAGTACAAAAACCCCTTAACTCTCTCTCTGAACTGAGAGAGAGAGAGAGAGAGAGAGAGAGAGAGAGAGAGAGAGACAGAGAGAGAGAGATGGAAAGGGGGACAACAGAAAGACAAAATAGAGAAAGAAAGGGAGAAAGTTAGAGAGACAAAAAAAAAGAGAGGTACTGTTTCAATAAAATATGGAATGCCCTCATCAACTTTGACTCACCATGCGATTCATCATCTTTATATCAAAATCGCAATTTGAACAACGAGTGTGTTTACATGCACTCAATAATCCGATCATAATCTGATTTCTGCAGTTATCTGATTATTCAAATATAAACAGCATACTCTGATTTCTTAGACTAGAGTAAGGTCTAGAAATCAGATTAAGAAATCTGATAAAGAGGCTGGATTTTAGCTCAGTAATCAGATTTCTCAGTGCATGTGAGCTCTTACTCTGATTTCTTTCGGATTTCTCAGTCTGAGCATGTGCGAAAACAGACCGCAGTACCGGAAATAAGCGAGCAGCGTCACCGCGAGACGCAGCAAAACACTTTCGGAGAGACACTGAAACCAACTACATGCTTGAGGAAATGAAGGACTTCATTGTCTTGATCTTCTAGATGATGTGTGTTCATTCATTTTCAGGTAAAGTGCTGCGATGTTTAAAAAAGTCGCAGCATGAAGTTTGAGTTTTAAATTACGTTTACGTTGCGTCGTCTTCTGTGAGTTTATTGGCTGGTTTCAAAGCAGAAACCTGATTACTGTCTGACTCATGTAGACCCGGAGTTTCCCCATTATCTGATTACTCAAGTGCATGTAAATGCGTTGATCGGATTACTGACAAAATCTGATTTTCTGCAGTTATCGGATTATTGAGTGCATGTAAACACACTTATTACTGTTAACAAGTTTTAAGATTCAGCCTCATGAATCTTGTGACCTGCCTGTAGATGTAGTTAGATCCAATCAGAAGCAGCCGGACACTCGGAAGCATGAGCCAACAGAAAAATAAGAGGACAAGCTGTGGTCCTCCCACTGAACTTCACTTCAGCTAATGAGGTCATGGAACCAGAGCTGGACAATTTGGAGAAAAATTTCAATTTTTGTGACAAATATTGTGATTATTTTATAAAAATTGAGCTCCAGGCATTTTTTTTCATGAAGATCTGTGGTCTTCTTTCTGAACTTCACTTCGGCTGATGATGTCATGGAACCAGGGCTCTTGCAAATTGAAAATTTCATTTTTTTAAATTGCAATTTTGAGAGAAAAATGATTAATCATTTAGCCTTAAACGTAACGACTTTGGAGGTGCATTGGGACTCCTCTAAAGGGAAATGGAGAGGTCAAGTGGACAAGGGCTTGTTAAAACTGGCATCGAAAAGGGTAGAGAGAGAGAGAGAGAGAGAGAGAGAGAAAGAGCGAGATAGAGAGAGAGAGAGAGAGATGCAGGAAAGTGTGCATGTTCATATTTTGCTGCGTCGTTTAGATTTGGGCTGTGGCGTGGACCTGATCACTTTGATCTTCTGCCTCAAAACTCTCCTGTCAATCACTGGTGGCTCCTCCCTTGGCTCCTCCCCTTCTGAGCTATGCTCCACCTCCTCCTCTGTTGTCACTTTTTCTTCCTCTGTTGTAACCCTCTCCTCCTCCGTCAGCACATTTTCCTCATCTATTGTCATCTTTCCCTCCTCTGTGGTTACCTTGTCCTCCTTCCTGGTCAGTCTTTTGGAGGAGCGTTTGGGGGTTGGAGGAACAGCCTTGGTTCTCCCTCCTCTAAGAATGCGAACAACAGGAGCTGAAGACTCTGGAGATTCGTCTGAGCTTTTGTCCTCCCCCTCGCCCCTGCACTCGTCTTCTGCCATGGCAACTGTGTTCTCCTCACCTCCACCTTGTTCCTTCTTTTGCACCTCCTCTTCCTCTTCCTCCTCTAGTTCTAATCTGTCCATATTTTCATCTTCTTTCTCTGCCTCAGGCTGGCTCTCTTCCTCTTTAGGAGGCTCTGTGGAGGCTTCCTGCACTCCCTCTTGCTCCACAGGAGATTCCTCCATCTCCATCGGCTCCTCTTGTCCCTGTTGGCCCTCAGAAGGAGCATCAGTTGCCTCTTCTGAAGATTCCTCAGTCGGAGCGAGCTCGGGCTCATTAACGTCCTCATCTACTGGAGCTATTTGCTGTTTGTTCTCATTTACAGGAGATACCTCCTGTTTCTCCTCAGCTGTAGAAATTGCTTCCTGTTTCTCCTCAGCTTTACAAACTGCTTCCTGTTTCTCCTCAGCTTCAGGAGGTGCCTCCAGTTTCTCCTCAGCTTTACCAACTGCTTCCTGTTTCTCCTCAGCTTCAGGAGGTGCCTCCAGTTTCTCCTCAGCTTCAGAAGATGCCTCCAATTTCTCCTCAACCTCAGGAGGTGCCTTCAGTTTCTCCTCAGTTTCAGGAGGTGCCTCCAGTTTCTCCTCAGTGTCAGGAGCTACCTCTTGTTTCTCCTCAGCTTCAGGAGCTACCTCTTGTTTCTCCTCAGCGTCAGGAGCTACCTCTTGTTTCTCCTCAGCTTCAGGAGCAACTTCCAGTTTCTCCTCAGCTTCACAAGCTACCTCTTGTTTCTCCTCAGCTTCACCAGCTACCTCTTGTTTTTCCTCAGCTTCAGGAGCAACTTCCAGTTTCTCCTCAGCTTCACAAGCTACCTCTTGTTTCTCCTCAGCTTCAGGAGAAACTTCCAGGTTCTCCTCAGCTTCACAAGCTACCTCTTGTTTCTCCTCAGCTGAATGATCTACCTCCTTTTCCTCCTTCTCCTCAGCTACAGCAACTTGAGGTGCTTCCTCTGGTAGTTTGTCCTCAGCAAGCCCTTCTTCCTCAGCTGCAGGAGAAACCTCTTGCTCCTCCGCCACAGGAGAATCTTCTTCTTGGTGCTCATTAGCTACAGTATCCACCTCTCCTTCTGGATTCTCCTCATCTACGTCTTTTGGCTCGTCCACAGCTGCATCCTCAAGAGAATCCACAGTATCTATGGGATCCTGCGGTGGACAAAACAGAACATCCGTCAATCTAAAAAGCAGGGACTCACACTGAACAGTCAGTACCATGGCTCCTAAAACCATCTCAGTTTTACAAAAGTTCCTCATATAATTTCATTATTTCATAACTGCATAATGAAAAGCGTCTTGCAACTCATCGGAAACTCAGCCACAACAGCTGCAAGCACCTTCGTGAAAATAGTTTCATGAAACAGCCAATCAAAACAGCAAAAAAGCATTACATGATTTTGTCAAAGGACATACAATCAAACCAGTGATTTTACCAAATCACTG